TAAGACAACATTACTACGGCAGACGACGAACAAGGTTAAGGCAGACAAAGGCAAAGCAAACAATGACAAGTCTTTGTATAACAATCTACCTCTATTGTATATTGTATATTGTATATTGAGAGTGATCAAGAAGGCGCAATGGGCGGCTTTATTTGAGGAACTGCTTGTGGGATTCTGCTTGGGTTGGCTGGATTCTTTAGACAATTGTGAGGGGACTAGCGCGAACGCAGGTCCCCACTACCAGAAATTGTACGGTCGAGTTACCCACGTTTGGGGTAATCGCAGGGGTCAGCCCAACCGAACTGCAATGGAAGGGCCTCACCCTGGAAGAAACGCCTTCTTGATCACGTTGTCTTCCCCGTCAGGTAAGTATGAACTACCATTTTGGCTATTGACAACTCGGCGGCTGCAGAAACAAGCCGACACATGTGGGAAGGCTGTTTCAGTACTCTCTGAATAGATCGATATGTTGAATATTGAGTGAAGAATGTTCAGTCTGACGAGGAAGATGATCAAGTACTGAAATATACTGAAATATAAAACTGATGTACTCACCATCCTTTTCGTGAAGAAAAACTAAATCATGCATTTTGCTCGATAAGTCGTGAGTCAGCCAGCAGTCGTCTGAAATTGAAAATAAGCCTTGAATTTTTGAGCACACAAAGAGGGGTAGCTAGAAATGACTGACTACTAAACAGGCAGGCAGACAAAAAAGCAAGATCAGAAGAACACAAAAACACAACACGTTGAGGGCTTCGCAGTCTGTGTATATTTGATTAACAATCATAAATAAAACTATGTCTAGTACAAGGTTTAAACTACTTAACTACTATGGAAAAGCAACCAACTACATACAATGTTAGCTAGCTCCTAGTTAACATTGTAGTTAGTTAGCCAGTCATATCAACAATATGGACTTGAATGATTGCAACTGTGAAAATGTGAAAATCGTTGTTTTCTTGCCAATTGATGAAAAGGGGCTAGGCCACCCATGGCTGTACTGCAATGCCAGGGCAACCCGTGCTCGCGGTGAGGCAAGCCTCATGCCGACAAGCTAGTTCCAAAAATCAGTTTAATATTTGAGCGCCCTTGGGCGCATATCAGATATTAAGCTGATAAGAACAGATACTTTTTTTTTTCCAATTCCTGCCCTCTGATGACACAGTAGGGACAGGGCGTAACATTCATGATCATTTAAGATCTACATGACAATTTAAAGGGAGACAACTGCCCCTTTTGTGCAGAGGTCCCCCTTGGCTACAAAATTTTACTTTACAATATACTGATTACTTGACAAAATACAAAAAGAGTTGGGGGATACGATACAATTTACAGACAATTGGTTAAAGTAAAAAATTTTGACAATGATACAATTAGCTGACAAATCAAACATTACGATCTACTGACAATATAACGCTAATCGTTTAATGAAAATACAAAGACTAGAGGAGAGAATTTCAGGCAGAGAATGTTCATGTTCATGTTTTTGTTTACTATAATATAATAAAGAGTTAGAAGGGTAAAAAAGGTTGTTACGATACAGAGGATAGACTAAATGTTGAGTGAGAGCGTACCATTTTGGTGGCTGCAGAGGACATCATTATAAGCCCATATGGGGAATTCTTTAGCAAATAGGGAAGGAGAGGACAAAGTAAACTTAATTCGGTTTCGAATAGTGGCCTTTATAGAAGAAACAACACCTAGAGGGTTGGGGGCCTTCTTTTCAAAGCGGCGATCACATCTGTGCATCCATATGGAATGCAGAGTGACTTTTAATAGGCAACGGCAGAGAGTTTTGGCATTCCGGTTGATTCCATTAGGGAATTCGAAGAATATGACGAGGGAGGGGAGCACAGAAAATGTGCCGAGCAGCTGTTCGAAAATCGGCTGCAGGGACGCGAAGACTGCAATAGCAGTTGGGCAGTCTATGAAGACATGATTAATGTCTTCGATTTGGTGACATTGGTCACAATTTTCGGGGATATTCAGACCCCAACTTTTTAAGTAACTTGCTGTTTTCAGGACCCGATGATAAATTTTCCATAAGACATCGTTTTCAGGGCCTAGGGAGGGGTGGGAACGAACGTGCTCCCATGGGATTTGCCACTGTTGTGGCTTCGCGAGGGCAACATTCCATGCCAGGGCTGGCAATGTGTCGGAGTAGACCGAGGCGAGAATGCTGCCGTAAATGCTACTTACAGGTGTGCCCGCGGCACTTAACAAAACAAGAACGACTTTATACAAATTACACAAAGAGAGAAGACGAGTGTAATGGGGAGATGGTGTTAAAGCATGAGGAAACAAATTGGAACAGAGAAATTTTGCAGTTGGAAAGTACTTGAAAAGTTGAAAACCGATATTGTAGCGGGCAAAATAAACCCAAGGAGAGTCATAGTTGATATCAATAATTGACTGAAGAAATTTCAGGTGTAGGGCGTTTGTTTTCAGATGTATGTCAACTACACCTTGACCACCTTTATCTGGGGGTCGGAACATTGTCTTTCTGTTGACCAGCTCATTTTTGCCAGCCCAGATAAATTGAAAAATAGCTCGGTTAACTTGTTTTTCTATAGCAGTAGGGAGATGGTAGATTGTTCCTACAAAGACGAGGCCAGAAAGAGCAATTGTGTTTACAATCAGGGCTTTACCTTTTAAAGAGAGGGATCGGTGTTTCCAGGCTTCGAGCCTGTTAGTCAATTTTTCGACCCGTTTTATCCAACAGCTTTCAAGGGCTGTTTGAGTGCCAAATTCGAGACCTAGTATTTCAAGAGCATTGTCAGTCCATTTTAAAGGGGAAGAGGGAGAGGCGGAAATATATGGGGGCTTGTTGAACCACTTTCCGCAGGACTTGCCGATATCGTAATTTACCTTTGATCCTGAACCTAATTCGTACAATTGTATAGTGGCTATGGCTTCTTCGACGGAAAATTTATTTTTTAGAAATAGGGTGGTATCATCTGCATATTGGGAAATTTTGACTTCTTTTCGTGAACCTGGAAGGCGGAGGCCTTCAATTTTGATATTTTGACGGATAAGGTTGCCCAGGGTCTCCGCTACTATGCAGTATAATAGCGGGGACAATGGGCAGCCTTGTCTTACGCCGCGTTTAAGGGTTACTTTCCTAGAAAGGTAGCCGTTGTTGCTAATTTGGCAAGAAACATCTGTATACATGGTTTTTATAAAACACATGAATTTTGGGCCGATATTCATTCTCTCCAAGACTTTTAAAAGGAAATCCCAGTTGACACGGTCAAAAGCTTTTTCTTGGTCAATTTTAATTAATGCAAGGGGGAGTTTTTTCTCTTGGCAGTAATCAATAGAGTCTCTTGCTAACATGAGATTTTCAAATATAGACCTGCCTGGTACAGAGCAGGTTTGGTCACTGTTTAAGATGGATGGAAGGATCATTTGCAGTCTATTCGCAAAGGCTTTGGAGCCAATTTTGTAATCGACATTAAGTAGTGAAATTGGTCTCCAGTTTTTGAGGAGTTCAATGTCTCCTTTTTTGTATAAGAGTGGAGATTATAGCTAACCGCATGGATTCAGTGAGGAGTCCTTTAGAAAAACAAAAGTTTAGTGCTTCTACTAAGGCTTCGCCAATTTCATCCTAGAAGAAGTTATAAAATTCTGCTGGTAGCCCATCAGAGCCTGGCGATTTGTCGGATTTCATGTTGGTGAGGGCTTTGTGACTTTGGTCTGCGGAAAGTGGTTCATCAAGTAACAATTTAAAGTTTTCGGGGACAAAACAATCAATAGTATTCAAAAGGGCATTCTGTTTTTCATTATCAATGGGTTCCGGGGAATATAGGGATTCGTAGAAGTTAGCAATGCAGCCAAGCAGGTCCCTACTATCCTGTATTACCCTACCATCTGATGTTTTTAACTTACGAATCACTTTTTTAGACTGACGTGAATTTTCAAGGCTGAAAAAATAGCCTGAAGATTTCTCATTGGATTGGTATTCTAGGGCTTTTGCTCTAATACGTGCACCATTAATATTATTAAGATCGAGTTCTTCAATTTCTCGTCTAATCAGGGGAACAGTTTCTTTTTCCTTTTGATCCGGAGAAATTGTTGCCTGTTGGAGCTTTTCTTCCAAAGTGGTGCGTTTCTCTCTCTTTTCATTTGCTAAACGTTTAGAAAACTTTTTGCATCTGTTTCTTATTTTCATTTTACCAATATCCCACCAAATGTGTAGTTTGCCTGCAAAGTCTTTTTTGCGACTAACCCAAAATTTCAAAAAGTGTTTCATATTACAGGTAAATTCTTCATTTTCTAGGAGGCTAGTATTGAATTTCCAGGTACCTCTGCCATGGGGTTGCGAATTTGGCAGTTTAAAGGACAGAAACGGGGCATCATGGTCGGAAAAGGGGAACACTGTTATCTCACAGTGTTTGGTATTGGCTAAGATATCAGGGGAAACGTAGAACTTATCTAGTCTAGATGATACTTTTGAATTTGTCCAGGTAAACTTGCGGGCAGAAGGGTGCATTGAATGAAAAATATCACTTAGGTTGAAGTCGTTTAGAAGATCAGTTAGAGCTTCGAGGGCAGTTGAACCTGCTTGGCTGTCACCGCCTAGTTTATCGCGAAACAGGTTAGTGATACAATTAAAGTCACCACCGATGATTGTTGGAACTCCCCCCCTGATGTGAGGGGGCAGCGTTTGAAAAAAGGCAGTTCTTTCGCCTATAGGGCAGGGCGCATAGATGTTTAAAAGCTGAAGCTTTGAATTGTTGGTATCTAAGATAACATTGGCCCATCGGCCACAGTTGTCATGAGTGACCGTGTGATGTTTGGTGGACAAGGACTCTTTAATGAGGGTAGTAACACCTCTGCTATGTTTTCCTCCAAAAGAAGAATAGATTGACCCTTTCCAGATGGATTTTAGGAAGCTAGTATCGTTAGGCTCTGAGAAGTAGGTTTCTTGCAAAAATACAACAGACTCCTTCCTGTTTTTGATCCAGTCTACTATGTTGGAGCACTTAGTGGGGTCCCTGAGTCCGTGGACATTTATTGATAATATATTTATTGTTGCCATCACTCACTGGGGGAGGGGAGTTCCAAAATCATCGGTCATTAGGAAGGGGTTGGTTGTCGAGCTGAACGACCCTTCGACTTCTTTTTGGTAGAGGGCCTTCGCACGGCGGAAATGTCAGAGACATTATAGTCTTGGAAGGACCTCTTTGAAGCCGCAGGGACACCAGCCTCGACAGAGCCTTGGTTGAAGGAAGGGACAGGAGTAGAGAGCGTAGAAGAGGAGTTCATACCGTCTGATAATGGTATTGGTGGATCGTACCAGTTCTTCACCTGCTGTCCATTTTCTTCCTGGGGAGGCGAGCTCCGAGTGTTGGCAGGTTCATCTGGAGCAACAACAGCGGTTTCAGTGTCAGCTACGGTGCCGAGCATCGGTGCTTCTTCCCCAGTAGGAATAGAATCATCAAGATCAGTTGGGTTCTCAAAAGTAGTGACTGCTGCATCCGAGTTGTCGGCTTCGGGGAGATTGACTGCTGTATCGGGAGTCGATTCCTCATTCGATGGGGTGGTGGAATTGCGACCATTTGGCAGCTCATTCAGGTCCGTGTCCCCCTCGGGAGCCCATGAGGAATCACACTGGTCAATGTGGTGATCAGTTGACCCACATCCCTGGCAGCGGCTGTCCTCATGACAGTCCGCGTTAATGTGGCCGTGTCCCCCACAATTGTAGCACCTTTTTATGCTGCAAATTGCAGCAAGGTGGCCCCTACTGTCACACCTGCGACAGGTTTGCGGTTGCCTATCATGGCGCACCATCAAACAATACGGGCCTAGGTGTACAAAGCTGGGTATTGGCTGTTGAATGACCATTTTCATGGTCACAATACCGTTCAGGATTGATGTCCCAGGATGATTGTTCTCCCGGGCAAACAGGACCTGTCCGAAGCTGCCAAACTTACGCCTGATCACCTCGAGGCTGAGCTCCTTCAGCTTCCCAAAGGCCCTCACCCATATGGCTGGTGGGTCTGCAAGACCGGGGGCCCATTGTCGTCTAGGAACATGGACAAAGCAGAGGCCCAAGAATCTCTCTTTGTCCCGCTGGCTGTCAAAGGTGATCTGAAGATCACCGTTTGGTAGTCTTCCAGTTTGCTGCGGAATGAGGGCAATCTCCTGTAACTTTCCGATGAGAGCTTTCACATCGATTGCTCCTTCACGGGAATGAACGCACAGCGTTCGGGGCCTGTGACGGCCATTAGGGACATGGGAGCGCAGGTTGCCTGATCTCCCGACGTAAATCTCGTTGACTGTGGCAGCAGCCGCCAGGGCTGCATAGGTTCTCGGAACTGGTGCCTCGGGTTTTTTTGGTGGCGGGCGGCTATGAGATGAGCGGCGATTGGGGGTATGTTCTGTATGTGGATGGTATCTCATGGCACGTTTGTGGAGAACAAGACGCTCAAGTTCGTCTTCTGTGCCGTCCTCTGAGCTTGACTCAATGTTATCGAGATCTTCACTCCCGTAGGGCACAGAGCCCCCGGGAGCAAGCTTCTCGGCCATGCTTCAGCTAATGACCAAAGCCAAAGGCCAAAGCAAACAGCTTATGCCAGTGACCAAAGCCAAAAGCCAAAGCTCTTTCCCTGCTAGGGTACCTGCGGCAGTGGGCGTTGGTCGTCGTACCTGCAGGTCCTAACAGGGAGAATGTCCCACAAGTGACGCATGAAACTCACCCTTCTCTTGTTGCTCTCTACCACGATGTTCCAAATCCTCTTCCAAAGTTCGCAGCAACACTTGTGGGACTTGATCTTAGCCCAAAGGCCGAGAAGCGATACCCAGTCTCATGTCTTCAGTTCAGACTCTCCACAAGTCTGCCTCGTTGCTTGCGGAGCGCTCAGTTTTTTTGCCTGTTGCCTGCCTGCCTGCCTGCTCCCTCACTCCAGCAGCAAAGTAATCAATCTGTGGATGTTGAAGAACGTCGTCGAGGTAAGTGAGTTAGTGAATGAGTTATTCGGCTTCACATGGCCACTCAGCAGCATGCAGCAGCATGCAGCAGCAGTTGTGAGCTGCAACAGCAGGGAAAGGCGCTTTCTTCCAAAAAATATGGCTTAAGTTCTACAGCGCGCGCTGTTGCTCCGTGTTGTTGTGCTTACCCTTACTATCTATTCATGAACGAGCCTCCCCGTGACCCAAGAGGCAAAAAGACCACTAGACTATCATTGGGAAGAAGATTAAACTTAACTTTCAGCTTTCCTTGTGGCAGTCGGATTGGAGAACGGGATAAACTGAGAAGATGAGAGGATGGAAGCTGTTCTATGACTGCATTCTGTCACTGACTGATGATATGATTCTAAGAAAGCCGAAACCTTGCATATAGACACTTGTTCATTACTCGAGTGGCAAACCCAAAGAGTTTATATAATTGAAGGAAAGGTTCACCATAGTTGGTCGAACGATAAGAGATCAGTGATGGTTTTTTGAACTCCTTGAATCAAAATGCTTTTGTGATTGTTCTTTCTTACAAGTCACTTTGGTATCCATCGAAGGCACTTTCACAATTGGCCTGTCATGTAATTATTGGGAATTGAACAATCCCTGAAAGCCCAGCTTATTGAAGCCTACTCATGAAAATCAATATTTTCAATTTTATGCTGCAAAAATTGCTAAAATATCCAAGATTTTTTCCGAAATTAAGTTACATAATCTTCAGAATGGGTATTGGGGGGGGGGGGTTGGTTGTTGTCGGGACTCGTTCAAGTGCAGGCAGCTCATCCCCAGTAATGATGGTCAGCTTGGCTGGAAGCTAGATTTCTTGACATGGATATCAAACCCGCTAAGCAACCAAAAAGCATCTTGCCACTCCAACAATTAGAACAAACCATGAAACCATGTAAGGGAAATAAAAAACTGCAATCATCCCTACAAATGGCTATTAGAACGAATAGCTTTTAAAAAAAGTATTTGATTTGGAATTGTGAAAAATAGGCCATGCAGATTTCCAGAGGCCCAAGAATCTTCTTGCAATAATACAGTAATCCTTGCCTCAATTTTTGCCTGAATTGTTTTGACTTTCACTTTCACTTTGTCAAATTGACTTTACCAAGTTTCTAATTCTCAAATGCTAATTGACACTATGAAGCTCTTACTTATCATTGCTTCTTGATTATTGCTATTTAGTATAATTATAGACAAACTTCTATAACATATTTTGATGCATTAAATGAATTCGAATTTGAATTTGAATTGAAGATAGGTTTGCTTGAGATTTGCAACATGCTGCTCTGAAAGTTGCAAAGTATGTTTATTTGGACAGGAAGATTTTTTTCTGTGTTGAACTTGAATTAATTTGGCCTTTTCTATCAAATGCTACAAGATAGGCATGCTAAAGCCATAACATTTCAGAAACGATGATTGTCCTGCTTGAAAGGATCATATTTAAGACAACATTACTACGGCAGACGACGAACAAGGTTAAGGCAGACAAAGGCAAAGCAAACAATGACAAGTCTTTGTATAACAATCTACCTCTATTGTATATTGTATATTGTATATTGAGAGTGATCAAGAAGGCGCAATGGGCGGCTTTATTTGAGGAACTGCTTGTGGGATTCTGCTTGGGTTGGCTGGATTCTTTAGACAATTGTGAGGGGACTAGCGCGAACGCAGGTCCCCACTACCAGAAATTGTACGGTCGAGTTACCCACGTTTGGGGTAATCGCAGGGGTCAGCCCAACCGAACTGCAATGGAAGGGCCTCACCCTGGAAGAAACGCCTTCTTGATCACTTTTTTTTTTCCGTTGAGCCTGGCACATGCCAGCGCCCGTGTAATTGAAAAAACAAGTATTTACAATTTAATACATACAAAGTTAATATAATTAATTTCACAATGAAAGTGTTCACA